ACTTTTTTCAAGCGACATTAAAAAAGGAAGAGCTTACCAACTTGACTGTTTATTAAATATATGGTTAGGTTAGTTTCCCTCAAAACTTTTTTCTGGGTGAACTGATTAGACGATTCTTTTTAACACTTTCAATAGCTTGCTGTGTTTCTATATAACAGGATCTTTGAATTTGATTTTTCATAGATTCATAGCGTCGGTTTGAGTTGAAACTTCGCACACTTATCAAAAACCGATGACATATAGTATTCTTAAATGAAATTTTTAATTATCCTTAAAATGAAAGTTAAAATAACATAGTTCTTGTGCCAGGTACTAAGGCGTGTAAGCATCTGCTGCCTCCCTTGGATATGATAGCCGTTTCTCAGGATCCGTCTCCGGAATCGTACCCTAATTCCCCGCTAACGTTCCAATAGTTACAGAGCCTATCATCGTATAGTAGAACTTGATTAGGTACTTAAAGTCCACATACAAGGTCTCACGCAATGGTGATGCACTGGATGAAACATGTAGTTTTGTGAGGAAATAAATCATGGAACGACCGGGGTGTTAGCCTGTTTTCAAATATAGTGCACCACTAAAAGGCCGATACTTTCTAAGTAATTATCACTGTGAAAGTTAAAAAGAAATAACATAACTAAATAAAAAATAGTTTATATAACCTAAAAAAACACCCTTTTCTTAGCTAGCTGAATTGAAAAATAGAAGACTAAGTATAGGAACCCAAACGCCTGCCGCGTCCGCAGTCGCGTCTGACCGCGCGTTGCGACCAATCTGGAGCTCTCGCTGTCGGCTCCCGGCAAGACTCAAAGAGCAGCGACCGAAGGGCTTTCATTTTAGCAAGCCGCGCGCGCGCCTTTTCGGGCGCCGACATGCCGACAGTTCACCCGCAACCACCCAAAAATACACACGTCATGAGAATACGTCCGCGCTTCAGTCGACAACACAAAAGAAGTTAATTTTTTATACACTCTTGACAATGACATGTCATTTTTTTCATATAAGACGACTACCATGATGACGGGATAAAATCAAATCTGGAAATGAAATGTAACTTTGCCCAAACGGGTAGGTATTTGAGCACCGTTCTGATCATCTGTCGCGAAGTAGCGATGTGGTTTATCTTAAAGTAGGTATTACCTACACGATATAGTAGTTTAGTTGTCAATATGGCAGGATGTGGCAGGATACACATTATTATGTCAAAGGGCCCTGGTAATTCAACACAAAACAAACAAATGCTCCATGCCAGAAATAAGAGGCAGCGGCTTCAATGATGTACTAAAAAAAACACTGCTTTCAACAGATGGTCAAGCGTTTGATTTCGTGGTAATTGGAGCAGGTTCAGCCGGATGTGTTGTGGCCAATAGACTTACTGAAATCTCTGATTGGAATGTACTCCTCATAGAGGCGGGCGATAATCCCCCACTTACATCGAAAGTGAGTTTTTAGTAAATACTAATTAAGCAAGAACTATACCAGTTTGCGAGGTTAAAGTAGTAGTGAGAACATTGCTCGTAGAACAAATGGCCACTGAGGACGAAATGTGGTCGAATGGTGATACAAGAAGACACGGCGTGGGTAGGTCTTCCACAAGGTGGACTGACGATCTGCGTAAGGTGGCGGGAATTCGCTGGATGCCCACACCGCTGGAGCGGTCGTTCTGGAGGGCTTTGAGGAGACCTATGTCCAGCAGTGGATGTCTGTCTGTATACATTACCTTAGATTACGTTGTTATTAGCTTAGAATATGCGTGTGTGGTGATATTTCATGTACGTAAATGATAGTTTATCTATAATATTTATGTTGGGTTTAATTACGAAAAAATGTGCGCTCGTTTTAAATATATATTTATAGAATGAATAGCAATATCAAAGTATGTATTGTGCGTAATTAATTACAGATTCCTGGACTCTTCTCATTTGTAGATTATTCAGAAGCAGACTGGAACTATTATACAGTCAATGACTTTTATTCGAGCCAAGCACATAAAACTAAAAACATTCATTATACCCGTGGCAAAATGTTGGGCGGTTCCTCTGGTGCCAATTACATGTTCTACGTCAGGGGAAATAAGGCGGATTACGATAGCTGGGCCGAACAAGGAAACCCTGGTTGGAATTGGGACGCAGTCTTAAAATATTTCAAGAAGAGCGAGAAACTAAATGACGTGTCTACTTTGCGTAGCAAATCGGCTGAGCTGCATGGACTGGACGGATATCTCGGTGTTACGATACCAAGTTGGAATAAATATTCTAAAAAATACTTTCCAGCGTTCAAAGAAGCCGGATATAACGTTTTGGAAGACACTAATGGGCCTGAACAGCTTGGCTACTCTCATTTGCAATACACTGTTGATGACAGTATTCGTCAAAGTACAGCCACTGCTTTTTTAGGACCTATCAAAGATCGTAAAAACTTATTTGTCTTAAAAAACGCATTAGCCACGAAAATTATTTTCGATTATAATAGAAAAGCCGTTGGTGTTGAATTGATACTTAAGAAATTCAAAATGATTCGTGTATTAGCAAAAAAAGAAGTAATATTATCTGCAGGTGCAATTAACAGTCCACAGTTGTTGATGCTCTCTGGAATCGGGCCAAGTCTTCATTTAATAGAAAAGAATATTAAAGTGCTAGTTGATTCACCAAATGTAGGACAAAATTTAATGGATCATCCAATAACTGTCCTAAGCATTGCCGGTGGTAACGACATCAATACTGTTATAGACAACCTATTCATTCTTTCCAATTTAGATAAATTCCCTACGCCTGTCTTTATCGGACACGGCGCTCTTAATAAATCACAAAGTATTCCAGATTACCAAGCATGTGTCTTTCCTCTCCCTATGTATTCACCCTTATCGTTGTTGGTTTGTTCATTCACATACGGATTAGTCGACGAAATTTGTAATACATTCAGTAATGTTGTCAAAAAGAGCGAAACGGTTTTCGTTATGTTGTCTCTTTTACATCCAAAATCGAGAGGTGAAGTTAAACTAGCCACGAAAATCCCATATGATAAACCTCGCATATATACGGGATACTATAGCAATGGTGAGGATTTAGAAAAACATGCTCGTAGTGTGGAGGATTTCCTTAAAATACTTAATACTACATTGTTTCGAAGTGTTAATGCGCATGTAGTTGATATGCATGTACCGCAATGCAAATTTTTACCATTGGGCATCCACGAATATTGGAAATGTCATATTTTGAATACAGCTTCGACAGAATGGCATCCTTCGGGCACTTGCGCGATGGGCCCAACGGGTGTGGTTGACGAGAGGCTACGAGTAAGAGGCGTTTCTGGTCTAAGAGTAGTAGATGCAAGCGTGATCCCTATCATACCGAGTGCTAACACCAATGCTCCAACTATAATGATCGCTGAAAACGCTTGTGACATGATCAAAACTGATCATGTTATAAACGTATCACTTATTCCCAAAATCTAATTTTATTATTACCATTTGAATAATATTTTTTTGTACATGTTACTTAGAGTAGAATTCCAATATTTCATAACATTATTTCCTGTACTACGCAAATTATGTGCGGCAGCACTTACTAGTAACGGTGTAATGTTTTTGTAAACATTAAATTGAATCAAAGCTCAAAAGCCTGTCGGTTATAATATGGAAGTAAAGTGATCCTGCATTAATTGGTATTGGTTTAAAATTCTACCGTATTAGTTATAAAATTTTATAACGATTAATGGTCGCTTAACTACTTCTGTATATAGCTCTTGCAGTCTTTGAATTTATTGGGACGTGGAGGATTATTCGGTATGTTGTAAGTCTACAACGACGCCATTTCTTGCAGTGGGTAATTTAGGAAGTGCCTAAGCGATTAATCGGATAATGGGTAATAGCATTCTTGGAGCATTGTATCAGAGTACAGCATGCGCCAACGGGCATTTACTGGTGGGAGGGTGATTATTAGTAGCCTGTTTGTTCCACTACCTAACTAATTTCTTTGCGTTCCAATTTTAAGTGAAGGACAGGTTTCGTGGAGTCGGAGTGGTGGAGCTCGATGGGGTTTAGTCGGTAGTCGGTTATGCGGGGCAGGTCCTGCGTGGTAGACGCCGCGCAGCGCCTCGCGCGCCTTTCTCAAGGCGTAGTCTCCCGGTAGGAATTGGAAGAAGAGGAGGACTTTGGTCTTCCTCTTCTCCCTCTTCTTCTCGACCGGGTATCCGTAAATAGATTACACAGCGTTAAAAAAAAAAGGCCTTATACTAAATGGAAAGTGGAATTGATCTACGGATTTCGGTATCCAGTTAACACCAGGTAAGCTTCGAGCTCATTTATCAATCCAAGGACAGAGCCTTGCCCATTGGTCGGTAATGTGGACTCGTTTCTTCTAGTTCGAGTCATCTTTCTTATAAATGTTTCGACGTTAACGACCATCAAAAATTTTCACTACAGCCACTTACAGAAAAATCTGTTTCGATTGTATCAAACAATACTCCGGCTTTTTAATCCAAATCTATCTAGTTCATAAAACCCTAACACTGGGCGACAGATTCATACCTTTATTCAAAGACATATTAACATCATCATCAACATCATCATTACCACAATTACCCACTGCTGGACATAGGCCTCTCCCAATCCACACCACTGAGCCCGGTCTTCACCTTTTGGCTACCTTTCAGAGGTCATCGCACTGTAACATACTCTTTATAAATTCAAAATGCTTACATAGTTACGTTCAAGTTTTTGATAGTTGGAATGAAGGTATCTTAGATATATTTATTAACTTCAACACATCCTTTATTAATAAAACGTAATTCTACGTTGTTGATCGACGCACTGGTTGAGAGCCGTTGATCTAGCAACATAAAATTTTCCGTAGACGCTCCTTAAAAATTCAGATGAAAACTGAGAAAAAATTACAATAACACATGCAAGAGTGAAGAAGCTTTTAGAGATTCAACAAAATTACACAGGTTTGTTCTTCAAAATTAATTTAATCTGTTAAACGTTTTACGTCATATATATTTTGTTAGTTGTCAGGATCTCCAAGAAAACCGTGATCTGCTTTAATGATATCAGCTCCTTTATCAGCAATCATGATAGTAGGAGCATTTGTATTCCCACCGACTATCTTCGGCATCGAACTGGCATCAATGACTCTCAGTTTTTTCACACCATGTACTCTCAGTTTGTAGTCAATTACCCCTACTCCTTCAGGACCCATAGCGCAAGTACCGACAGGATGCCAGAGAGTTGTAGCCGTGTTCAAAGCATAGCTCTTCCAATATTCGAATGTGTTAAATTCATAATCTTCGCAATTTGTTACATCCAAGTCAAGAGGCATAGCATTCGTTTTTTTCATGTACTCTGTATCGAGTACAGTCAAGAAATCTTGTATGTATTTTGCATGATTTTCTAAATCTTCATCTTGAGAGTAATAGCCTGTGTAAATTAAGGGTGGTTCTTCTGGATTATTACTTTTAAGAATGACTTTGCCAGTAGATTTCGGATACAAAAGGATTACAAGAACTAAAATAACAGCTTTGCTTTGTGTTGCCTTCGCCATAGACACACAAATGCTGTCAGCCAAGCCGAACACAAAATTACAAATCCAAACAGGGATTATGGTACCAACGGGAAACACGAAAAATTTAACTTGGTAGTCTGGTATAGTTTGCGTTTTATTGATGGCGGCGAAACCCATGAGACACGGTGCGGGCATTTCATCTAAATTAGCAAAAATTTCCAGATTTTGGACAACAGTGACCTTACTTTTATTTTCAGTGATGATAAACGGAACAGTGGCATGGTCTTGTAAGTTTTTTCCGACATTAGGTGATTCACTAATAACTGGAATGGCCATTTCAGTTAGATGCTCTTTTGGGCCGATTCCTGACAACATCAACAGTTTCGGACTGTTTATTGCACCAGCGGATATTATTATTTCTCTTCTGGATCCAACGAAATATGTTTCACCATCTCGAACTATTTCAACAGCCACCGCTTCTTTTGCATCATTGAATAAAATTCTTTTGACAAAAGAGTTTCTTGAAAGAAACAAATTTTTACGATTTTTTATGGGTCTCAAGAAAGCGTAGCCTGTGCTCTGGCGAACATTATCAGCAACAGTGAATGTCGGTAGTGCGTAACCCATCTGCTCCGGTCCGTTCTGGTCCAATATAACTTTACGTTCATTTTGTTTGAATGCTGTAAAATAGTCATCTACTCTATCCCCCCAGTCTGGTTTCGTAACACCGAGGTAACCTTCTGTCCCGTGGAAAGATCCAGATGGGCTCTTCAATATTGTGTCATCTTCAAGTCGTTCACTTTTAATAAAATATGGAAGTACTGATTTGTAGCCCCACCCTTTGTTGCCCATTCCTTCCCAACAATCATAATCATGTCTGTTTCCTCGGATGTAATACATGTAGTTTGACCCGCTACAGCCGCCAACCATTTTGCCTCGGGTCAAATGAATATTTTTTTCTGCGTGCGCTTGACTTGAATAATCGTCATTGACGGTTCTGTAGTTCCAATCTTCGTATGAATAATCAACGAACGGAAACAATCCAGGTATCTGTTGAGTAAAACGAACTCGGAATTATAATAAACTAAAACCTTCGTCATACAAAATGTCATGTGAATTATCAGAAATCTCTGATTATAAATAAACTATTATGGAGTATGAAGATTCAGTATGACGTACAGATAATGGCGTATTAAAAGGGAAAAGGCGATAAACGCTGACCTGCCCCGGAGCGACAACAGAACAGCTTCAATTTTTTTTCACAAACTTTACAATGTATAGGCTCACAAACAGTAAATGAGAAATAGCGCGAATTAATAAATTTTGTGAGTATGATTGTTATTACACGATGTTATTCCTATGTATGTCGTGGGCGTTTTTAATTTATTGGTGAACACGTTTTTGTGGTACGTATTTTTTTAAAATTCGTACAAGCTTGATGGAATCCGAAACTATCACTAGAAAATAATACATCGTTCGTTTTATCCTGTAGGCCACGATGACATCCAGATCGAAATGTCCCTATCTTACCCCCTACGATATAAAGAAAGAAACAGCGTAAATAGATAGAAATAAAAGCTTATATTATTTTGAAGCCTACCGTGGATTCGATTGAAGGATCCTCTCCAGCCTCCAGTAACAGCACTGTCCAGTTTGAGATCTCAGAGAGTCGGTTGGCCAGAACACAGCCTGATGAACCAGCGCCGATAATAATTATGTCGTAAGATGTAAAGTCTGTCATGGAATAAAAATTTGTGAATGAAGTTAAATCATGCAGTGGCTAATGAGGATCATTTTTCGTTTATTGCCTAGATGGGTGGACGTGCTCACAGCCCACCTGGTGTTAACTGGGTACTGGAGCCCATAGACATCTACAACGTAAATGTGCCATCCACCTTGAGATATAAGTTCTAAGATCTCAGTATAATTACAACGGCTGCCCTACCCTTCAAACCAAAACGCATTACTACTTCACGGCAGAAATAGGCAGGGGGGTGGTATCTTGCGTCACTATTGCCGGTAGTGTTAATTAATTATTTTAAGGTTACGCAGCTGCATATTTCTGCCGCGAAATAATAATTTGCTCCGGTTTAAATATATTTTTTCCCCTATCTATTCGTTAGTAGCCTAAGACGCTATTCCAGCCACGCTCGGGCAGGTAGGTGAGCTCATGGGCTGAACCTGAGAGAGTTTGCCAACACTGGCCCCAGCAAGAGCAGTGAGTGCTTCGCTGGATACCAGATGGAAATCGCGACCCACCGGGAAGATCCGGCGAGAAACTCAGTGGGCTGTGTCTATGGGTTAGTTCGCTCGTTGAACTCGATCGACGTGTTCGACGAGGACGGTGACCGGTGTTTGAATAGTAAGACAGCTGTTATAACAATACAATTCAGAGTTCGACACCGTGTCTCAATGCATTCCGATAGAGGCACCCGTCACGTGCGGACGTGCTAATCGACCACTCGATCGCCCGGCCTTTGTTAGCCCGGCCATTGTTCGCGCGGCCTGTGTTCGTGGTACATCAGCCGACCAAGTGTTTTTCCTGGAAGTTTTTATTTGTTTTGTTTCCTTTTGTTATTTCTGTGTTCGTGGTACATCTGCCGACAAACTGTTTTCTTGGAAGTGTTTAATTGTTTTGTTTCTTTTTGTTATTTCTGTTTTATTGTGTTTTTTCTTTGTTCTGTAGTAATCGCGCCGCATCGCCACCTGTGTTCAATAGAACCGCTCAGCTCCGAGAAGTTGGGGCCTCGCCGCAAGGCGAGTGTTTTCTAAGACCCAGGGTAGCCCCACCTGGGCACGTAGCCATCATGGACGCTGTATTTGCGGAATTTCTCCGGCTTCGCTACCCAAAGCTCACTTCAGAGTTTCAGGCCTTCAAGGCCGATCACATCGCGAGCCCTCTCGTGGACTCCGCCGAGCTCGCTGCTCCTGCGTCGCCTGTACCTGCGTGCAAAGCTTCTGCATCGAGCACCGCAGCCTCCGTCGTGCCTGCCGTTCCCGCGTCGCCTATACTGGCGAGTAAAACTGCTGCGTCGTCCGCCGTGGTCACCTTTCCAGCAGCGCGATCATCCGCGGCCTCCGTCGCGCCCTCCAAAACACCTACTCGTAGGTCACCTGCGCCCGCCTCCTCGTCCTCCGACTCTGACTCGGAGATGGAGGTCGACCTCGCCCCCGCCTCATCGACGGATGGATTCACCCTGGTGCAAAAGGGTAAGAAGCGTGCCGCGGAGTCTCGAGCTCCCGCGGCCGCTAAAATTAGCAAAGCCGCGAACGCGTCGCGCCCCCGCCCTCAGACTCCCGTTGCGCCTCCAGCCCGTGCCACTCCGTCGCCGCGTCCGGTGGCACAAAATAAA